AGCAGGGAGCCCGATGTGGGACTCGATCCCAGGACCCTGGGATCATGACCTGAGCTGAAGGCAGATGCTTAACGACTGAGCCACCCAGGTGCCCATTCTCCAAATTTTAATTAATTCAAAACTATTGTTAAGTTTTTAAAAATCAAAAGAAAAAAAACTTGGAAAATCAAGAGTTCAACCTTCCTAGATTAAATTATGCATAAGTAAAATGTGTTAATAAAAATGTTTCAGGGTGTCTTGGTCCATTCTAGCTGCTGTAACAAAATACCAGAGTCTAGGTAGCTTATTATCAACAAAAATTTGTTTCTCACAGTTCTGGAGGCTGGAAGCCCAAGATCAGGGTGCCCAGTGTGGTCAAGTGAAGGCCCTCTTGCAAGTCACAGACTTTTCCATGTATCCTCACACAGTGGATGGGGCAAAGGAGCTCTTCAGGGTCTCTTTTATAAGGGCATTAATCTTATGACCTAATCATTTGCCAAAGGCCCTAGTACCATCACACTGGGCATTAGGATTTCAACATATAAATTCTGTGGGAACATACACATTCAGACCATAGCAAATGACTGTGTACATTTCAGGTAAAAAGAAATATGCTTACATAAAGACTGATACAAGAACTGTCTCTAAAAAACATATACTTTATGGGATAAATTACAGGCCTAGAAAACTGTCACTGTCCATAATACCTTTGTCGTCTAATAATAATAACTTACAATAATCTTATAATTGTGCTATACCGCAACAGTGAATTCAACTCTCCTCCATTCTACAAAAACATCAATGTTCGTAACATCCTCAATCTTCGGCAAATATAGTCTTCTGGAAGAGACATCAGAGAAATGAAAATTGCCTTCAATGAAAAATAAGCTTATCAGATACTGTAACTAGCATGGCAGTGAGAGTCCAAGACAATGACTCCTGGATTCATGTTTCCCAACTAAATGACAAGTATCTTCTCCAAACAGCTGGACAACCACTAGATCAGGAGACTTTCAGCGAGTGATTCTCAGGGATTCTCCAGAAGCCATTGTATTTTTTTTTTCCTTCCAATTTTTAATTTAAATTCTAGTTAGTTAACATACAGTTTAACATTGGTTTCAGGAGAATTTAGTGATTCATCACTTACATATAACACCCAGTACTCATAACAAGTGTCCTCCTTACAGAAGCCATTATCTTTGAAGGAAAACTGCTAATCAAACCCTCAAGTCAAGCAGATAACAGAAAATGAACTGCTTCTGCCCAAGGCAAAAAACATGATCAATTTTCTGATACCTTTGCTCTTTTCCCCTCTTTTGCTTACTATAGTTTGGCACCTCCTAGAGATAAAGGTTTCTCAATATGTTCTTATGTATTTAAGGATTTTATTTTACATATTTAAGGATCTTATTCTTAATCCTCTGTGGTCTTTTCTGGCCACCTTAAGAATGCAAAACTTTTCCGTTTTCTAGACCACAGCTACTCTTTGAAACTGTCAAATTCCACCGTAAAAGATGTAATATCTATTCCTTTAAACTCCTGAGACCAATTTCTTCCCAAAAGTCTCTTCTGATATTTGAATTTTCCTCTTAATCGGTAGCCGCAGCCTTCATTCTTGTAAAAACTGAGTTTACTCCAAGTCAACAAAATGCTTCTACTATAATCATAACAGCATTGTCAGCAGAACCAGATTCACCAGGGAAGGGAACAAATGCTATTCTCACTGCACTAGTCATTTTCTCCAAAGATCTTCCAAACTTCTATGCAGGAACTAAACTCCACAATGTGCTCAGCTCAAGGAAACAATTATTGGCTCATTTCTGTTGTGATAAATATCATTTATATCCCTAATATTATCTCTAACTCACCAGGGATTAATTAGGTCTACACCAGGTTCTTGCCTACCTCCTAAACCCAAACCTATCTTGTGTACAGAATAATTGTTAAGAAGTTTTCAGATATTTAAAGCCCTTTTCTATTCAGGGTAGCATGTTTCCTTGGAAGGATAACCAAAGACTTCCAAAATGAAGCAGGAATTGGATACACAGGAGAGTTCTCAAAAGTGTTAACTCTCTTGAATACAACTAGAAAAGGTGGTTCAAATTTCGACTCATGCTGTGGAAGCCCAAGAAACCAGTTTAAGTTCACTACCCAGGATTGTCATGGGCAATGACATAGTCTTCTATTTCCTTGTGGCAAGCCAAGGCAGTTTCATTTATTATATATAAAGGTCTATAAAAATCATTAGACAGGTACAATAGTCTTTGACTAAGCTAAAGAAAGAAGCTACCTGACTCTATAGAATAGACCCACCTGGACTTTGGAATATGTTTTTGTAGCTTGGGTTTTGTAACCTAGCCTCCTGGCTTTGCATTCTAGTAGAATACTCATTTTGCCTCTGATAATTTTATTACAGTTGGCAGATGCTTTCTGTTCTGAGCCTTAAATGCTGTTGTGTAGCTACTCCCAAGTCACATGATTTAACAACAATCAACTATTATTAACATGAAGACCTGAGACTAAGTAAGAACTACCATTGGATACTTGATACTCAATTCTAACCCAGTAAAGAGCAATACTAATCTGTCTTGATCACAACTCCAGAAGATAATCGTCTATCCTTCAACACAGGCTGAAGAAAGACCAGAAGAGAATTGAGAATTGAAAGAGAAACTACAGTTTGCAAAAATGTACAGCTTGTAAAACGCCTAAGTCTACCAAACTTTGACAACACAAGAAATTGCCTAAGCCCGGGGCACCTGGGTGGCTCAGTCATTAAGCGTCTGCCTTCGGCTCAGGTCATGATCCCAGGGTCCTGGGATCGAGCCCCGCATCGGGCTCCCTGCTACGCGGGAAGCCTCCTTCTCCCTCTCCCACTCCCCCTGCTTGTGTTCCCTCTCTCACTGTCTCTCTCTGTCAAATAAATAAAATCTTTAAAAAAAAAAAAAAAAGACATTGCCTAAGCTCAAACTCTTACTGCTAGTTCAATCAGATACATGTTTCAAGATAAAACCACAAACTGATATAATGGTAATTCTGCACAGGCTCACGTGTCCTAATGACACTAACTGTACCAGCAACTCTCTAGTTTCCAAATTTTCACCAATCCTTACCAAAATGTTTCAAAACTAACCTGAGGCCCCAAACTCCTATATGTACCCTTCCTTTGGAGACACCCCACAGTTCCTCTGGTATTTGTACTTGCTTGGTGCAGCAAGCTAATAAGCCTAGCTTTGATTACTGGGTGGTTTTTGGTCAATGGATGTCACTAGTATAAATGAATCAAGTGCTCCCTTCTGAATGAGACACAATGGCTTCAATTTAATAGGCAAAGGTACTAAATCCTATATTCTACACACAAATGCCTCACAACATTACCAGTATTAAATAAAACCTTATCAGTATTAACCATGGCAATTTTGTTAAACAAATAATAATGTATGAATTTGCAGATATATAACTGACAACCAACCTGTGTTAATGGAAAAACTTGTAATCTTAAGAAATACTAACTGAATATAATTTCTCTGTACATAAAAATGTATATTTGATATGTTTTCCAAAAGGCCCCCAAATTTTGATATAGTTGATTTTAAGTTAACTACTCTAGCAAACCACTATAAAAATAAATGAAAGATTATAAATGCAATGGCATGTGGCACACTATTGTTGTGAATATGCTTTATTTTTAAGTAAAAAATGAATCCTAGCTGAAACAAAGTGTTTTGCCTCTGAATATTTTAAGCTTAAGAGAAAAACTCATTAATAAGGAACATATTTTCATTTTTCCATATTTTTAATTTTTTATAAAGATTTTCATTAAGTTTCAGTCAACAGGCAGTTTTTAAACTTAGGCTTCATGATCCTTTTGACTTCATACTTTTAAATGGAGGCATTTCTCTTCAAAACATGACAAATTTCAGAATCCATTAAAAATTATTTTATTCAAATTATGTTTTCCAAAAGAGAGGGTTCTGTGCTAGTCGTCTTTGAAAGTTTTCATACCTACAAAAGAAAAAAACATATTAACAAGAAAATTAAATCTTTCATAATCTACCAAATGACTTCTCAAAAAGCATACAACCTTAAATGTCACTTCTAAAAAGCTAAGATAAAAAGCCAAAAAAGCTAAAAAGTTAATCTGGAAGTTTAATTATTCTTATAAAAGGACAGTAAGCACTGTGATTTAAGTATGACTGGCTTGTACTAGAGAGCACAAATCATAATAAATTTTATTAATTTTTTACCTTCTGCAAGCCTGACAGCTAGACCTAAGAAAAAAAATCAAATCTCACTCCTCCTCCCTCATTTCACAGATGAGTAGACGACAGGAATTTGCTCAAGGTCATATACTTACATTTTAACAAAGCTCAAACCTAATACCTTCCAGAGCTATCCATGCTACACCATGCTACCACTGCTCAACAAATTCTCATGTATCCCCCACCACTGGGATATTCAAAGTGAAAAGAATACCTATAAAACAGAATTATGGGAAAGCTAGGGAAATAAATTTTACTAATCATTTAAGTACAAGGTACAGTATATATCATCCTGATGCCTGATGTATATCTACTTTAGACCAAGCTTTCTAAACTTACAAAAAAATACTGCTTTGTATTTCAAGACTCATATATGGTTACTTATAAATAAAAATATTAAAAAATTTACAGCCTTAATTGTGGTCCCTACACATAGGCAATTGTATTTTCTTGTCTTTATAAATTTAAAATGGCTACTATATAACAATATTGAGGGTAAGAACATTCCTTGATGTGAACTCCATAGTATACTTTTTAATGGCATGCCACTGTAAACGTATGCTGATGTTCACAATAAAAGAATATGTTTAGATGTCAAAGAGGAAATACATTCACCGGCAAAAAATATATATGGTTACTAAAAGCCTTAATATTAGAGATACAAAATGTCCCATACCATTTCAGAACCACATTTGCTGGAATGAACATTTCAGATGGACTTGGTGTCATCTGGGCCTGAGAGACAGCAAATGATGAAGCAAAATTGTAGAAGTTGTCCAACATCTTTTGTGTGAACTGGAAAGTTAATAATGAGTAGATTAATGAATTATACTGAATATTCCACTTAGACCTTAACATTTTTAATTAAAAATGTTCCTGCATTGGTTTTAAGGACTGTGAGTTCTAAAACAGTCTAATACCGCAAGTTAAAGAAAGTCATAAAATGACACTGTGACACAAAATCTTAACAATCTGCCTTTAGTACTTTCTTCATATCTCAAAGAATTTCTGTGGTTTTTAACAATTTTAATTTCCTAACATATTCATTTTGGGAAAAAATTGGGCAAAATATATAAACAGTCAATTCCAATTACAAAAAAATACACATGAGGTCAAAATGAGAAAAGATGTTCAACTTCACCAGTGGCCAAGAAATACAAACCAAAATAATAGTGATATTCAAATTTCATCCAACAGTTAGGTAAAAATTTAAGGTCTTAAATATTAGTGAGAATATCTATCAATATGGAAATGAAAAAACTGTCTCATTCATACAATGACATACTATACAACAATTAAAAGACTAGATTTATTCCATGTATCAACACAAGTAAGTCTTAAAAATAATGCTGAGTGAACAACACCAAGTTGTAGAAATTTGTACAGTATACCATTTATAATTATTTTAAAAACACACAAAGGGGTAAGTCAACAAGAATGGAAAAGAGAAGAGAAATAAAAGGAGTTTCTACAATAATGGTTAAAGAAAAGAATACCTTGACTACAGTTATGCAACAGACCCAGAAAATAATGAGTCCACAGAAGAACAAAAAAGAGTTTCGAAGAACAAAGAAGAATTTCAAGAGGGATGTTTCCAAAACAAATTTAAAATTGCTTTTTAAAAATATACTGAATAGGAATTTATACTTGGCAGAGTTTGGGCATCAATTAGACATGGAAACAGAAATCCATGCAAAGGAAAAAATGAAGCATTTATTAACCAAGAAAAATAAAAAGTCATACAAGAAAGGAAATGTAATCATAGTACTACACCTGGCTCAGTTCTGAAAAATATTTACCTGATCATAATACTGAAAACTCTGAATATTAATTTAGTGAAAATCTATAATAAAAAGGTGTGGGGGTGCCTGGCTGGCTCAGTCAGTAGAACATGCAACTCCAGGTTGTGAGTTCAAGCCTCACGATGGGGTGTAGAGATGATTTAAAAATAAAATCTTTTAGGGGCACTGGGTGGTGCAGTCAGTTAGGCGTCCGACTCTTGTTTCGGCTCGGGTTGTGATCTCGGGGTCATGACATTGAGCTCTGTATCAGGCTCTGCACTAAGCCTGCTTGAGATTCTGTCTCTCTCTTTTCCCTTTCCCTCTGCCCCTCTCCACCGCACATACTCTCTCTCTCTCTCACACTCTAAAATAAATACATAAATCTTTAAAAAAATAAATAAATAAAATCTTAAAAACAAAAGGTGGGAAGAAGAGACAACTCTGTATGCTGGAAAGCAGAGGAGTGAGAGTGCTAAATCACATTAGGTATTGGAAAGTTGATGGAAAACACCTACAACAAATAAACTGGTTAAGATTAAGCAAGTTTTTTCGGACACATGGAAGTAAATACAGGAAGAAATAGGTAAAGAAAAAAAAATGAGGGAGAGGTTGAAATTGACTGCTTTTGAGGAGCAGAATAAGAGCAGAATATAAGAAGTATAACAGGACAACTGTTTTGCATGTAAAACCATCTGATGTTTAAGCCACGTACATATATTATTAATAAAAACAAAATCAAATAAGAGTAACTACGAGTATGTATTAGAAACATGTTTAAACAAATAAGGCCATACATATTTTGTGGATATATATGAATGTTTCTTTTAAAGTACTAACATAGGGGGCGCCTGGGTGGCACAGTCTTTAAGTGTCTGCCTTCAGCTCAGGTCATGATCCCAGAGTCCTGGGATCAAGTCCCACGTTGGGCTCCCTGCTCAGCGTGAAGCCTGCTTCTCCCTCTCCCACTCCCCCTGTTTGTGTTCCTTCTCTTGCTGTCTCTCTCTGTCAGATAAATAAATAAAATCTTAAAAAAAAAAGGTTTATTAAAGTACTAACATAGGATGGCAAAGATACATGAAGTTAGAAGAGTAGCTACCTGGGGAAGAACTGGAAGAAGAGAAACAGTGAGGCCAGCAAGGTGTATCAGAAATACTTTTTTTTTTTTAATTAGTAGCAAATATGGCAAATATCAGTTAAATCTAGGCAGAAGACACTCAGAAGTCTTCATTTATATTGCACTATAAAGAGAGCTCCACAAGGATAACTATTATTTTGTCTACCTATTTTTATTTGTGCTTAGAAAACTCCTGGCACACAGTAGGCATACAATAAATACTGGTGGAATGTACTTTCCTAGATATGTAAAATATTTCATAATAAAATGTTTAATAAAAAATACATATGCTTTATTTTAAAAGCTCAAATAATTTATAAATATATAAAGTCTCCTTGCCCCTTTACAGGGATAACATCACTTTGGTATGTATTTTTCAGACATTTTCTAATACAGTCATTATGGGATACTATTAACTACTGCTTTACAATTTGCTTTTTTCAGTACAGCAGTTTTTTAATTACTGGGGGAAAAAAAAAACATTAAGACCTAGACTCCGTCATTCTTAATTCAGCCTGTTCTCAAGAGATCATCTGACAAGTCTGACTTTAAATTCATGGCCACAACCCTCATGAGTATGCTGCCCAGCAAACTCATAAGGGGTTCCCAGTCCATTCACCCTCCTCCTCCCCCAGAGGACTTATTTAATAATCTTTTTTCTTTAAATTTCCAATACTCCTTTCCCCTCAATCTTAGCTGATGACCTTGTTTCCTGTTTCACTGAGCAAAGAGAAGGTATCAAGAGAGAACGTGCATAAGTTCTCATCACATTTATCAACCTCCTGCATCTGTATCCATATAGCCATTACTATGAATACTGTCCATTATCCAACCTATTGTGCTCTCATTTCCTACTCAAGGGGTTCAGCAATTCTCCCCACTCTCCTGCATTATCAGTTTTTCTTTAATGCTTCATTCTCATCAAACATGTAATATCTCCCATTAAAAATAGTAAAAACAAAAAAAATTCCTTGTCCCCACTGCCTCAAGCAACCAAACCATTTATCTGCTATCCTCTGTAACTACATTCATCAAGAGTCATCTATATTCACTGTTTCCACTTCCTCCTCTCCAGCTCACTCCAAATTCCCCTTCTACTCTCTGAACTCTTCTAACTTTTTAATGACTTCCATCTTGCTGAATCCAGTGGATACTTCTTAGCCCTCATCTTGACATCAGCAGTGTGATACTACTGAGGCTTCCTCCTTCTTAAAAACCAGTCTTTGGGGCGTCTGGGTGGCTCAGTCGTTAAGCGACTGCCTTCGGCTCAGGTCATGATCCCAGGGTCCTGGGATCAAGTCCCACATCAGGCTCCCTGCTCTGCGGGGAGTCTGCTTCTCCTTCTCCCACTCCCCCTGCTTGCGTTCCCTCTCCCGCTGTGTCTCTCTCTGTCAAATAAATAAATAAAATCTTTAAAAAAAAAAAA